CATGTGGGATCTTCTCCGACGAGGGATCACACCCGTGCCCCCTGCATTGGCAGGTGTACTCTTAACCACTGCACCACCAGGGAAGTCCTATATTTTGGATATAAATCCCTTATCAGGTATATGTTTTGCAAATATTTTTCCCATTCTTTAGGTTGCCTTCTCATTTCATTAATTTTTCCTTTGCTGTGCAGAAGCTTTATTTTTTCATGTAGTCCCACTGTTTACTTTTGCTTGTGTTGCTTCTGCTTTTGATGTCATATCCAAAAAACTATTGCTAAGACCAATGTCAAGGAGGTTTTCTTCTATGTTTTCTTCCAGGAGTATTCTTTTTTAAAGATATTTATTTATTTATTTATTTATTTTGGCTGCAGCAGGTCTTAGTTGAGGCATGCAGGATCTTCGTTGCGGCATGCGGGATCTTTTAGTTGCAGCATGCGACTTCTTAGTTGCAGCATGTGGACTTCTTAGTTGCAGCATGTGAACTCTTAGTTGTGGCATGCATGTGGGATCTAGTTCCCCAACCAGGGATTGAACCAAGCCTCCAGGCCTCCTGAATTGGGAGAGTGGAGTCTTACCCACTGGACCACCAGGGAAGTCCCTCTTCCAGGAGTCTTATGGTCTCTTACATTTAAGACTTTAATCCATCTGAGGTCTGTAACTTAGGGATTCAGTTTTATTCTTTTGCATGTGAATATCCGGTTTTCCCAGCACTATTTATAGAAGAGGCTATCCCTCCCTCATTGTATATTTTTGGTGCTTTGTCAAACATTAGTTGACCATATACATGTGGATATTTTTCTGGGCTCTCAATTATGTTCCATTGGTCTGTGTCTGTTTTTACACCAGTATGATATTTTGATTACCGTAGCTTTGAAATATAGTTTGAAATCAGGAAGTGTGATCCCAACAGTTTCATTCTTTCTCCTCAAGATTGCTTTGGCTATCTGGGGCCTTCTGTGGTTCCATATGAATTTTAGGATTGTTTTTTCTATTCCTATGAAAAATGTCACTGGAATACTGATAGGGATTGCATTGAATCTAGATTGCTTTGGGTAGTATGGGCATTTTAATAATGTTAATTCTTCCAGTCCATGAACATGGGATAACTTTCCATTTCCGTCTTCTTTAATTTTTTCATCAGATCTTTCACCTTCTTGATTAAGATTATTCATAAGTATTTTATTTTAAATGAGATTTTTTCTCTATTTGCTTTTCAGATAGTTTGTTGTTAGTGTATAGAAGTGCAACTGATTTTTGTTATGTTGATTTTTTATCCTGAAACTTTACTGAATTTGTTTATAAGTCTAATACTTTTTGGTGGAGTCTTTAGAGTTTTCTACATATGAGATCATGTCATCTGCAAACAGAAAATTTTATGTCTTCCTTTCCAATTTGGATATCTTTTACTTCTTTTTCCTGCCTAATTGCTCTGGCTAGGACTTCCAGTACCAAGTTCAACAGAAGTGGTGCGAGTGGGCACCCTTGTCCAGTTCCTGATCTTAGAGAAAATGCTTTCAGCTTTTCATTGTTGAGTATGATATTAGCTGTGGGCTTGTCATATATGGCCTTTATTATGTTGAAGTATATTACTTCTACATCTAGTTTGTTGAGAGTTTTTATCATGAAAGAATGTTGAATTTTGTCAAATGCTTTTTCTGCATCTATTGAGATGATATGATTTTTATCCTTCATTTTGTTGATATGATCTATCATATATATTAATTTGTATATGTGGAAATGTCCTTACATCCTAGGAATAAGTTCCATTTGATCATAATCCTTTTAATGTGCTGCTGAATTCAGTTTGCTAGAGTTCAGTTGAGAATTTTTACATCATGTTCATTAGGTTTATTAGCCTGTAATTTTCTTTTCTTATAGAGTCCTTATCTGGCTTTGGTATCAGAATGATACTAGCCTCATAAACTGAGTTTGGAAATGTTTCCTCCTCTTCAATTTTGGAAGAGTTTGAGAAAAATTGGCATTAATTCTTGTTTAAATGTTTGAATTATTTAGAATTCACCAGTGAGGCTGTCTGGTTTCTGCTGGGAGGTTGGGAGGTTTCTGATTACTAATTCAGTCTCCTTACTTATTATTGGCCTGTTCAGATTTTCTATTTCTTCATAATTCAATCTTAGTACATTGTATGTTTCTAGGAATTTAAGCATCATCTCTTCTAGATTATCTGATTTGTTGGTGTATAATTATTTATAGTAGTCTCTTATGATCCTTTGTACATCTGTGGTATCAGTTGTAAGTCTCTCTAATTTATAATTTTATTTATTTGGATCACTTCTCTTTTTCTTCTTATTCTAGGTAAAGGTCTGGTAGTTTTTATTATCTTTCAAAAACAAACTCTTAAATTTCATGGATCTTTTCTACTGTTCTTCTGTTCTCCATTTCACTTATTTCTGCTCTAATCTTTATTATTTCCTTCCTTCTGTTAACTTTGGGCTTAATTTGGTCTTCATTTTCTAGTTCCTTGAGGTGTAAATTTAGGTTATTTGAGATCTTTTTCTTTTTTTCTTAATGTAGGTATTTATAAATATAAGTTTTCCTTTTAGAAGTGTGTTTGCTGCATCCCATAAATTTTGGTATGCTGTGTTTCCATTTTTGTCTCAAGATAGTTTTTGATTTTCGTTTGATTTCTTTTTTAACCCATTGGTTGTTTAGGAGTATGTTGTTTAATTTCCATGTATTGTGAATTTTCCAATTTTCCTCCTGTTATTGATTCATACCATTGTGATTAGAAAAGATACATGATATGATTTCAACCTTCTTGAGTTTGTAAAGACTTATTTTGTAGCCTAATATGTGCTCTATCCTGGAGAATATTCAGTGTGCCCTTAAAAATCATGTGTATTCTATCTATACACGTCTGTTAGTCTCATATGGTCTATAGCATTGTTTAAATCTGCTGTTTTCTTATTAGTTTTCTTCTGGATTATCTATCTATTGTTGCGAGTGGTATAATAAAGTCCCCTACTATTATTGTATTGTTTTTTTAATTTCTCCTTTTGGTTCTGTTAATATTTGCTTTACATATTTAGGTGATCTGATGTTGGGTGACATAAATATTTACAGTTGTTATATCCTTTTCATGAATTGGACCCTTTGTTATTATACAACTGACCCTTGAACAATGCAGGTGTTAGGGGCACCAACCCTCTGTGCCATTGAGAATCCACATATAACTTTACAGTAAGCCCTCCATATCTGCAGCTCTGCATCCACAGATTCAACCAACTGTAGATCATGTAGTACTGTAGTGTATTTAGTGAAAGAAATTCACATATAAGTGGACCCATTCAGTCCAAACCCACGTTGTTCAAAGGTCAACTGTAGGGTTTCCCTGGTGGTGCAGTGGTTGAGAGTCTGCCTGCCGATGCAGGGGACACGGGTTCGTGCCCTGGTCCGGGAAGATCCCACATGCCGCGGAGCAGCTGGGCCCGTGAGCCATGGCCGCTGAGCCTGCGTGTCTGGAGCCTGTGCTCCACAACAGGAAAGGCCACAGTGGTGAGAAGCCCGCGTACCGCAAAAAAAAAAAAAAAAAAAAAAGTCAACTGTATAATGACTTTTTTTGGTCTCATGATCATTTTTGACTATTTTGACTATACCATATCAGACTACTTTGTCTGATATATCTATTTCTGATCTATTTTGGTTCCCATTTGCTTGGAATATCTCTTCCATCCCTTCACCTGTATGTGTCCCTAAAGCTACAGTGAGTTTATTATAGGCAACATACCATTGGCTCTTGTTTTTTATCCATTTGGCCATTTTGTGTCTTTTGACTGGAGAATTCAGACCATTTATGTTTAAAATAATTATTGATAGGTAGGACCTACTATTACAATTTTGTTCATTGTTTTCTGACTGTTTTGTAGTTTCTTTCTTCCTCTTTTGCTGTTTTCCTTTGTGATTTGATGACTTTTTGTAGTGGTATGCTTTGATTCCTTTCTCTTAATCTTTTATGTATCTACTACAGGCTTTTCCTTTATGGTTACCATGAGAATTACATAAAATATCTTATGGTTATCCTGCTTTAAGCTGAGAACAACTTAACTTTGCATACAGAAACTCTATATTTTTATTTCTCTGCCCCCTCAAATTTTAGATTGACATTAAAATTTATGTCTTTTTATATTGTGTATGCAATAACAAATTATTGTAGTTATAGTTATTTTAATACTTTTTAAACTTTTATACTAGAGTTGAAAGTGATTTATGGACCATCACTACAATATTAGAGAATTCTGACTTTGATTATATATTTACCTTTACCAGTGAGTTTTACACATTCATATGTTTGTCTGTTTGTTTTAAAAGATTTTTTGAGGTGGACCATTTTTAAAGTCTTTACTGCATTTGTTACAACATTGCTTCTGTTTTACGTTTTGGTTTTCTGGCCGTGAGACGTGGGATCTTATCTCCCTGACCAGGGATCGAACCTGCACCCTCTGCTTTGGAAGGCGAAGTCTTAACCGGTGGACTGCCAGGGAAGTCCCTACATTCATATGTTTTTATGTTGTTAATTAGTGTTCTTTCATTTCAGCTCGAAGAACTCCCTTTAGTATTTCTTGTAAGACAGGTCTAGTGATGGTGAATTCCCTAAGCTTTTGTTTGTCATGCTTTTATTTATTCTGTTCTCTTCACCTACAAAGAACCAAAATATGTGGCAACATTATTAAGGCTCTATCATTATTACAGAGCAGGAATGGACCTCAGGAGTTATTTTAAAGATGAGGCCTGGAATGAAATGATTCAGAATCATAATTCTAAAGATGGAAGGGGACCTAGTGGGTCTATCCTCTTTTGAGACTATAAACTCTTCTACAGCATTTCCAAGAAAAGTTGACCTATCTTGGGTAGTCTCCCTCCAGAGACAGAGAGCTTACCATCTTCTGAGGCAGTCTTTCCACCATGAGAGCTTGACTATTAGAAAGTTCTTCCTCAACCAGCTAAAATCTTTCTCCCTTTAGCTTCTTCTCTGTGTTTTTCAGTTTTCTCCCTGGTGAGCAATAGCAGACCCAGATGGTGGATGGACCCAGAGTGGGAAGAATCCTGAGAGAAGGACAGCCAGGTTTGACACAAACACCAGCAATCCCAGGTATGTCTGCTTCAGATGGGATAATTCCCTAGATACAGTGGATATTAACTAATCATATGGCTTGCTCTGATTAGAAAAAGGGATCCCTTTGTCTAGCCTAGTTTACTGGAATTCTATAATTGATTTTAGTGCTAACGTCTTGGCCAATAATGTCATATTTTGGTGCTCTTGAGCAGGTCTGTCTTCTTTGGACTTGAGGAAGAAAGTAATTGGGCCCAGGCAAAATTTAGGGTATATCTGGTTCCCTTGGCCAAATCCCATTTCCATGTCACCTTCCAAACTTATAACTTCTGATATAGCAGATATTGACACTCTATACCCTTCAGCTCACATAAATTAACCTTCAACTTACATACTGCATCCTTGGGCTCACACTGCACCTTCTCAGCCTCCTTTCCTAGCTACCAGATGCTTTCCTGGCCTCATATCATGGCATCATCCATGTTTTTGGGCCCTCCATTTCTGAGTTCCTCCCCTCCTTGTAAAGCAGAAGCCCTTTAACATCTTTGGCCCAACATTTATTTACATGGCTCAGGGCCTAGCCAGCACCCCCAGCTTTCTTATCTACTAAAGTTTTCCTTGGAAAACAGGGTCTTCAGCATCTTTATTGGCATATCTGGAAAATGTACACACTCACAACACAGAGTTGTTTTTTCCTTTCCTACCAATAGCCAATGTATAAACCTAACATACCAGAATCTGCAAATCCTGTATTTTTAGTTGTTTTTAATGATGTAAACCAGTTACTTCCCAAGAGCTATCTCATCCACACTGTTCCACTGTAATGGTAAGGTGACCATTTTCATGGGAGGAACTAGGAAGCATACCCATTGCCTAATTTCTAACCATCCTGAAGATAGCTTGCCAGAAAGCCTCAAGATTTCCTAATGGTTGGATACACCACATCTGGAGTCTGTGTACATCTTAAACCCAGCCAACTGATGAGCAATCATGATGTGGAGAAGCTCACCCAGGCCTCCTGAATATTTGTAAAGAAAGAAATAATGAAAACCTCACAAAGTACAAATCCTAGGAGGCAAAGTGGCTAACATCTAACTTTCCATTTTTGTTTCAAAGCACTCACTTGAACAATGGGGTTTAGGATGGAATTTGTATTGAATTTCTTACTAACAGATCTTTAGAGGACATATGCACTGCCTGCTGTTGTCCAGGTATTTTCTCAAGAAAGTTACCTTCCTGTCTGGTACTTTCCAGTACTTATTACTTTGGCCAAAAATCAAATCAGGTAAGGGAAGATTTGGCCTTCAAGTGACATCTGTCATCATTATAATGGTAATAGTGATAGCTAACTACATGGCAGTTACCTGAGTCCCAGGCATTTTATACGTATTGTCTTTAATCCCTCCATCTCTAGGAAAATACGTATTATTGGTGATAGTAATAAGATGGCAAGATATTTTGCTGAGATCTCAAATCTATGGGTCCTTGATCAACTGCCCACCCTCAGTCTGACACCAGTCCTGCTAGCTCCATGAGCAAGGTAAAAATGGACAAAGCTAGTCAGAGGAAATATGTTTATAACTACAAAGGGAGCTTTGGTACCAACTCTTCCCGCACTGGTGAGATAGGTTAGACTATGTCTAAGGACCAATTTTCTGCTCCTGGATGGACTAAGTCCTACATGAAAAACCATCCTAGCTCATTCTAAGAGCTATCATTCTCACGAGCAGAAAGAAGAAAGAACACACCCAAGGGAAAGAGCATAAAGGGAAAGAGTGTCTTCCTAAGATCTAGTGCAATAGGCTTGTATCTCCCACCCTACCCACCCTTACAAAATTAATGGTAGGAGAGAGCAGTCTCATAAGCTAGAACAGCTTCCAGACCTTCCTGGCCAACCAAAGTTACAGACATAATCAATCCAAAAAGGAAAAGGATCCAATAGGGCGTGCCATGTGGAAGGAATAATGTTTTAAGTTCTTTGTTCCTCCTTTTGAAAGCTTTTCTTGTTAGTACAGAAATGGCAAATTACTGAGATGTGTGCAGATGCTCCCTGCTCCTGAATCATGGCCAACATTCCAATCAGTGACGGCTCTCATTCTTGCCAAACCTAGAATCTTTCTCAACATGATGCCTTAAGCAGTTATATTAGATGACAGGAAATGGTGAGTGTTTAAAATCCTTTCACCATCATTATCTTAGCACCTCAGTAGAGCAGTGCCTGTTCCCCATGTCAGAAACCTCCTGCTGTGGGGAGACTGTGCTTTCTTTCCTCCCCAGAAGTTGGGGCCTTCAGCCAACATACCTCCATATTTTGGGTCTCTCTTTAATTTAGGGATGTGGCCCTAGGCCAGAAAAAACAAGAGTATCAGAAAAGTCCTGCCTGACTCTTCACGAGGCCTCTTCTCCAGTCCTTGCCTCTTCTCTTATGTCTAGACCTGGGAGCAATGAATGGGCAGCTCAGCCTGTTTTTCTCATGGTTACCTGCTAAGTTAGGCAAGATAATCTCACCTATTCCATCTTCCGTACAGAAAGTCATTTTGTACAATCAAGCTCACCAGACAGGTTCATACAGCATGCACGGAAGAATGAAGTAACACTCCTGTGCCCCCCCTCAATGTTAATAACATCCTGAATAAATGCCAAACCAGACAGGAAGTCAGGACAATAGGCGTAAACTTGGACTTTCTTGAGCCAACCTGGATGTCAGTTCACTTATTCAAAATTACCTCTAAGAAGAGCATAAGATCAGTCCCACACCCAAAGAATGTAGAAATCACAAGCATATCTCAGGATTAATGTGACTTCACAGTTACCCTCCAGCCTAATATCTAGACTAGAAGCAAACCAAATACAATAGCTCTCTGGTCCCATTTCCCTACTTCCCAAATGAAGAATACCCTGGGATCCATTAAAAAAAATAGTAATACAGCACGTGACCTCCCAATATGTAAAACAGGAGAGCCCCAGAAATGGAGATAAGATGAAGCTGATCTCTGCCAGTTGGATGTTCCTCAGTCCCCAGAGGTGGGCTCTAAGGAGGGTTCTTTTAATCTCATTTAGTCCCAGGTCTTTATCTCCTGGAAGCTAGCATATGTTGTTGGCATTTGGCTTTGAGATAAGTCTGTGTTTTGCAGGTGCTGCAAGTGAGTCCTGGCACAGCAATTAGTCTTGTGGAAGAAGTGGGACACGTGAGAGAGCTAGTTATGGATGGACCCAACTCAGGATGAATGAAAGTTTTACTGCAGCAGGAGATACCTGCCTGCAGCTACTGAAGAAGAAACCCAGTTTCCATCCCAGCTTCTGCAGTTCCCGTGGCTCCCACAGCTAGGTACAAAAGGTACAAAAGGAGCTTTTGATATAATTGGAGAATGTTTCTCTCTGTGGCAATGGGGTACTGATTAAAATATGAGGGGACGCAATGATGACTTATAGTGTGGTGGCAAATGTGAGCTTGTCTGTTGTGATCATGGCTTGTTGCTTTTGGATGTCCATATGTAGCCTTCAGCTTGTTAATCAGGTGGTTAAAGTGAGAGAACATGACTTTTCAGCTTAGTGTGGAGAGTGTAGGGCAGCATGAGAGAGGCATTTGTAAAGACCTTGGGAGTATGAACCTCTCATCTCAGTGGTCCCATGTAGGACCAAGTGGGACGTAAAAGCAGTGGAAAGGATTAGAGAAACAGCATTGCCAAGATACTACTAGGACTGTTGTGGTAATTCATGATTATTTCTCTTGTGGGGGACATCTATGTGTCTGATAGGTCTGGTCCTTGAGCCCATTGCACTAATTGGAGCTAAACAAAAAGGTTGGCCTCTAGAGGGCACACTAGGTCTTGAGTCTGGTGGAGATCAAATTAAGGACATGCTTGGATTATAGTTTTCCAGGATGGCGGGCAAATTGAAAAATTCTGTTGTCTGAGTAGCAGGCTCTGCTTAGACCCTTCTCTCTTTGCACCGTATTTTTTAAGGATCCTACTTCGAGCCTTCGTCTCCATCTCCTAAGTGAGGAGTGTCTAAGAAGCCACTGCTTGTCCTCCACAGACTAGTGGAAACCACAGTGTGGCAAGCATTTGGAGAGAGTGTGGGTGGGTGGCTTAGTCAGGCTGCCTTAAGCTTTAGGGAGTGGCTAGCTTTCCCTGATCCAAAGTTGGGGCACAGCCTGAGGAAAGGGTACCCAACAGGCCAGTTAGCCTGTTTCTGGCCAAGGATTCAAGCCAGCGGCTGAATGGAATTCTAGGCTCACACATTAGCCAGCCCAAATTGCCCGGATGTTCTATTAGGGCTTGAGGCCATGATTAGTAATGAAGAGAGTGGATATCTACCTGCCTTGGCTCACCCTGCAAGGACTCCATAGGTCACAGCACAAGATCTAGAGGTTCCAGTCCTGGCTTCTTACAGACAAAACCAACCAATATCGTCTGTAGTGTATAAATAAGGTCATAGGGCTTAGAAGTAGTGGAACCAGGATTGATCCTTTCCTCCAACTCTTTATCCCAATGCATTACTGGTCTGGGAGTCGGGACACATGCATTTCAGCCCTGTCTCTGCCACACTCCATGGAATATCAGGAAAGCTCTCTCTTTAGTCTCAGTTTCCTCATCTGACAAATGCATGGCTCACACCAGGCCTTCTACAATTCTGACATTTAATGATTCACTACATTATCACCCACTCCTAATGTTCTGATCGAGGGACTTGGTATTTTTATCTTTTTTTTTTAAAAAAAGTCATCAAATCAGGAATTCAAGCCTGTAGCCAATGAACTCCCCCCTCCCACCCCTTTTGAGAAACAATCCTCAGAATCCCAAGGAAACCAGGTCCAGGACTTCCCCCAGGGGAGGATTCTGCATGCGCATAACTTATTCTGTCTTAAAAAAACAAAACTCTTGTGACATCCTTCCCCCCAGTGAAGTCATCGACTTGCAACTTCCCTTCCCTTCCCAAGTCCTCGCAGAATTTTAGGCAAATTAAAGTAGGAGCATTTGATCTCCCCAGATGTTTTGGTCACAGAAGGGCCACATGTGTGCACACATTCCTGGATATTTTTAGATTTTTTTACAGGCTCCAAAGTTCTAACTGCTTCTTCACTCTGCGCTTTGTGGCCGCTGCTGGGAGATGCTCTGTCAAAGCAGCAAGGCAGAGCCTGATGGAAGAGGGCCTGGCACGGGGAGGCTCCCAGAAGTTGCTCTGAGTGACCCCGGAAAGCTGCAAGGCTTCAGTCCCTGAAGCCTCTCTGGCCACCAAGAGGAAACAAACTGCTGCCATTTAAGACTTATGGGTGGGCTTCCCTGGTGGCGCAGTGGTTGAGAGTCCGCCTGCCGATGCAGGGGACACGGGTTCGTGCCCCAGTCCGGGAAGATCCCACATGCCGCTCACAACAGTGAGAGGCCCGCGTACAGTTAAAAAAAAAAAAAAAGACTTATTGGGGTACACAGACTCTCCCTGAAAGAGTTCTGGCTGAAAGTCTCCTAAAAATCATACCAAGGCCCCAGTAAAGAGGTAACAAGATATAGTGGAGAAAATATTGGGCAGAAGGTCAAGAGATGTGACTCTGGCTCCTTTATAACCAGTTACTTTTTCTCTACTGGGCCTTAGTTTCTCTGTCTGCAAAATGGGATACTTCATACACGTAGAAAAGAGGTCTACAAACTATGGCCTGCAGGTTGGCTGCCTGTTTTGTTAAATAATGTTTTATTGGGACAAAGCCCCAATCCCATTTGCTTACATATTATCTGGGGCTGAGTTACAACAGAAGAGTGGGCTAGTTGTGACAGAAACAACATGGCCCGTAAATCTCATATATTTAGTCTCTGGCTCTTTAAGAAATAGTTTGTTGACCCCTGATGTAGCAGATACTGCCTTCACTGTTCCAGGACATGCCAAAGGTATCCTACTGTCAGCAGCTGGGACTCTCCTCCTTTCTCTTGGAGGGAGGGGTCATGGAAGTTAATGTCCCCGGGAGCAGCCCTCAGCCAATGACAAATGGTTGGAGGTAGCTATCTCAGCTTCCTCACCTCGCATGGGACAAACCTGAAATGAGTTTCGTATTGTCTCCTAGACGTCACCACTAGGACTGAGCCCCAGATGCCTACAACAGTAGCCTCCCCAACACCACACCATGTATTGGCTTCCTCCCCTGTCTCCCCTCTCTACTCTTCTACCCCTGCTTCCTGGATTCCATTCCCCCCAAACCTCTCATACTCAAATCTTAGACTCAGGGTCTGCTTCTGCAGGTGCCCAGCCTAAGACAGGACATAAGTCTTACACACCTCCTTTTTTTTCCCTGGTTGGCATTCCATCTGCACTAAGCTGCCCATTCAGTTCTGGGCTTGGATGAAAGACCACAAGGCAGGATGTGGGATGTTTTCCTGAATAACCACCATGGTGGTGGATGACACACGCTGGAAGCGCAGGGGAGTTTGTTTGCCATGGGTTGAGTCTTGACCACAGGAGAGAAAATGACAGATATATGTGCCCTACTTTCCCCCTCTTTGGACTTCTGTGAAGTGTGGTTTCTCTTTAGAAACTTTCCAGGGAATTTCCATGTGCTGAGAAAGCATGCCTGCCGAGAGACCTACTGTGTTTCTTTGGCACCTCTTTGAGTAGTTGGATAGTGGTTACCTGTGTGAGAGCCCCTGCATCTTCCCTTGTCTCACTTCTGAATCTTTTCTCCACCCTAACCACCCTGAGTTTGCACCTCCCAAGTAAAGTCGCAGTACTATATCCTTGCCTCAGGCTCTGCTTTCCAGAGGACCTGAGCTAAGGCATAGAGTTGGTTTAAATATCTCTAAGGACTCTTTCAGCTCTGACATACTAGACTTCTATTAAATTCCATTTTTCACATACCTAGCAATAAAAAAGATATTGTATATCTACTGTGTTGGACATGAAACACCATTTAATTCTCACAGAGATTAGTTTTTCAGGTATGCCAGGGGTATTTCTTGTCACAATTCAAATCAGACCAACAGAGGATGTTATAATAATAATTATTAATAATATTTATTAAGTTCTATATGTTAGACCTTGAGTTATACTTTAAAGGCATTAATTATTTGATCCTCATTTAAACCTTATCAGGTTCTATTATTACCTTCATTTTACACAAGAGGAAAATGAAGTTCAGAGAAGGTAAGCCGTTTATCCTAAGTTGCATGGTAAGTGGCCAAGCCAGAATGTGATACCAGGTCTGACAGTTTCCAAAGGCCATGTTCAAAATTATGTACCTTATTACATCTGATATAAGCAAATATAATACTCTTCCAAAACTTTTTCTTCGAATAGACGTTTCACTAATTGAAAATATATGGATGGCAAATAAGCACATGAAAAGATGCTCAACATCATTAGTCATTAGGAAAATGCAAATTAAAATCATAGTAAGATGCCGCCATACTTACTAGAATAGTTAGAATTAAAAGACTGGCTATACCTTATGCTGGCGAGCGTGTGGAGGAAGTGGACTCTTATACACTGCTGATGGAATGTAAAATGGTACAATTAACTTGGAAAACAGTTTGGCAATTTCATAAAAAGTTAAACATAAATTGAACATATGACCCAGCCAATCTACTCTTAGGTATTTACCAAGAAAAATGAAAACATATGTCCTTAAGAGACTTGTATATAATTGTTCATGGCAACTTTGTTTGTAACAGCCCCAAACTGAAAACAACCTAGCAGGTGAATGGACAAATTGTGGTATATGCATATAATGGAATACCACTCAATAATAAAAACGAATAAATTTTTGATACATGCAGCAACATGCATGAATCTCAAAACAAGTATGCTGACTGAAAGAAGCCAGATAAAAACAAGTACATACTGTATGATCCCACTTGTATAAGTGCTAGAAAATGCAATAAGAAGAACAGAAAGCAGTGGTTGCCTGTGTGTATGTGTGTGTGTGTGTGTGTGTGGGTGTGTGAAGAGGGATGAGAAGGATAATAAAGGAGTCCAAGGAAACTTTTAAGGGTGGTGGATATATGTTCATTGTCTCCATTGTGGCGATGGTTTCATGGGAGTATACATATGTCAGCTGTCATCAAATCGTATGCCTTAAATATATGCAGTTTATTGTAGGACAGTTGTATCTCAATATAGCTGTAAAACACAAAACTAAATTCTGTGGGTAACTGCATACCACAAGAGATGACACTGGAGAATTGTTCTTTTGCATTGTCTTTTGGGATTGCCCATGGAAATTAAACCAGTGGTGAAGGAATGAGCTGATTGATCTTGTCTTGGCTGACTCAGAATGGTGTAGCCAAAGAGAAAAAGAGATAGGGATGCAGTATTGGCAATTTAGAGACAGTCTCTTTACCTCCTAGAGCTTCAGCTTCCTCATCTATTAAATGGGATTGTCTCTTGTGCCCTGCCTTCCCCATAAAGCTAATTTAAGGAAAAGTAAGCGACCTGGCTCTCAAATGTGAATGACCAAATTTCCCTGTTGATATAACATGCATTTGCCAAGCATCTGGTGGCAATCCCAGTCCTGGATGCTGTAGGCCCACCATGGGGGGAACTGGGAGCTTACAACTCTGCCTCTAGAACTGGCACAGGCCATCTTTCTTCTGGTCTCTGCTCCTCTGTCATTTTGTTACCAGACCCTGTTTGTCTGGTCCCTCAGACTCATTCCTGTCTCTGATCCCACCTGCTTTGCCTGGCCCAGTTGGCCTGACATCACTCTCTGCATTTTCTCCAGCTCCCCATGGATCCTCTGCATTGAGCGACAATAGGCTAGACCTGCCTACCCACCCCAAGATCAAGGAGAGATTGGCTCCCCTTGTTCAAGGTCACCCCAGGCACTGGGAAGACAGACCTGGATGTCAAAGGGAACCCACAGTCTTGTGGGAGAGACAGCTGTGCCAGCACCTGTCCTGTGTGATGATCTATGGTACAGGTGCCATCTGCCACCCCAGGGGCATGAGGGTGCAGGGGGCTTCTCGGATGAGGAAATGGCACAGCTGGACCCAGAAGGATGGGTGAATCCTGGCCAGATAGAAGTAGGAGAACATTCTAAAGAGAGGACAAGAAATCCCCTGCCTCAAGGGCAAAGGCCTTGGGGTATTGGGACACTGTGAATGGCTTGATGTGACCACAAACACACAGGAGGTGAGGCTGGAGGGTAAGCCAGATTATGGAAGTAAGGCTTGGTGCGCCATATGCCAAGGAGTTTGGGTTCGAATCTGAAGGCACTGGGTACGTACTGAATGGTTCCAAGCCAGGGTGTGACACTCCCAGTTCACTCATTTGTGGGGTCCTTCTCAAATCTAACCCAGAAGGGTTGCTTTCTCTCTAGAGCAGGGCTTTTTTTTTTTTTTTAAACATCTTTATTGGAGTATAATTGCTTTACAAAGGTGTGTTAGTTTCTGCTGTATAACAAAGTGAATCAGCTATACATATAAATATATCGCCTCCCTCTTGCATCTCCTGCCTACCCTCCGTATCCCATCTCTCTAGGTGGACACAAAGCACCGAGCTGATCTCCCTGTGCTATGCAGCTGCTTCCCACTAGCTATCTGTTTTACATTTGGTAGTGTATATATGTCCATGCCACTCTATCACTTCGTCCCAGCTTACCCTTCTCCCTCCCCGTATCCTCAAGTCCATTCTCTACGTCTGTGGCTTTATTCCTGTCCTGCCCTTGGTTCTTCAGGACCATTTTTCTTTTCTTTTTTAGATTCCATATATATGTGTTAGCATATGGTATTTGTTTTTCTCTTTCTGACTTACTTCACTCTGTATGACAGACTCTAGGTCCATCCACCTCACTACAAATAACTCAATTTCGTTTCTTTTTATGGATGAGTAATATTCCATTGTATATATGTGCCACATCTTCTTTATCCATTCATCTGTCAGTAGACACTTAAGTTGCTTCCATGTCCTGGCTATTGTAAATTAAAAGGTTTTAAGTAGAGAGTGACAGGACCATATCTCTCTTTCTAGATGAAATGGGCAGAGAGATTGGAAGGAGTGGGAGAATCTTCAGGGTAACGAGACCAGTTGGGCTACTGCTTCTAAGAATATCCCTCTTTTGTACATGTTGTCACACTGCCCCGGGTCCACCTCTACACTGGGGTCACAAGTCAGCACAGTACGTTTAGTTGATAAATCTGGCAACCCTACTCAGGTGCCACTTCCTCCATGAAGCCTTCTCCAATCTTCCTACCTGGAAGGGACCTTTCCTCCTCGGAGCTTTCACACCTCTTCAAATGTTGCCCTCTAATTGCAACAATCACTTTTTATCTTAGCTCCCGACTGTCTGGATTCAAACCACAGCTCTACCACTTGCCAGTTCTGTGGCCGTGAGCAGGTCCCTTAGCCTTCATAGGGCTCTATTTTCTCATTGACAAAATGGGGATAATAATACCTTTCTCCTAAGGTCACTGTAAGGATTTAATGAGTTAATATATGTGATAGACTTAGAACAGTGCCTGGAATATAGTGAACTTTGTATAAGCAACGGCTGTTATTGTTATTATTGCTATTTAAATTATTTGTGTCCATGTTTTAATTCCTATAATAGATTTGAGCCTTTTGAGCACAAGGACTATGACTTATTCATTTTTGCATCTTCCTCAGTGAGTAGCAAGATGCATTTACATAGTACATGCTCAATAAATATTTGTAGAATGTATCAATAAATGGTCAAATGAATGAAAGAATGTAAGCTTTAGAATGGAATTTAACTATGGTGCTGTAAACAAAGTATTATTTGTATTCAAGGATACTTTGATCTTTAAAGGAAAAAACAGCTATGTGTGTAATGACAGGAACCTAAGAATCTGAGTACAGAAGGGGCACAGGGTAAGCCCTGCAGCATGTATTCTCAAAACTCAACCCTGTGCCTTGATTTTTTTTCATCTGCAAAATGAAGAGATTTGATTAAATGATCTTGAAATCCTCTATAGCCCTAAAGTTCTATTATTGGGGTCACTAGGTTCTTAAAACTTTTGTCTGTTGATTACTACACCATTAGGAATTTCCTAGAAAAGACAGTGGAAGAATATTTTTATTTGAAAAAATACTTCCAAATGACACTTAGTACTAGGGCCTAAAGAAAGATCTTATCAATTATAGCGAGGGCTTGTGTTAGAGATGGAACCTGTGTTCCCTCACTTTCATTAGGACTAACACATCAAGAAGAGAAATTCTGTCAGAAATATGTACCACAGCCACATTTACCCCAAAGACACAGGAAGCTTGAAAACAAAAATCAAAGCTGCTCAGAATTCTCCTGGGAAAATGAACAATGAGAAGCACCAGCAAAATGAATCCAAGTTCACCGGGAAGCCATTGACCCTCCTGACTGTGGATTGGTATATTGGGCTCTGCCACTTTGAGTATTTTGGGGTTCAGCGTGAAAGCTGAAGACGCTGCGGTTTCTAAAGATGCCTAGAGGCTATGGCAAAGGGATCCCTGGACCGGATGGCCCCATCTTCTAAGTCTCTCTCAGCACCCTCTTCAAGGCTTGGGCACCACCTGCCTGTGCAGCTGTCATTTGTGTCACTGGATGTTAAATTCTCCATAGATTGTGCTTATTTATCTCAGGAACCCCCATACCCAGTACCCAATACCTAGATGCTCAACAAATACTTGTTGAATAAATGAATGTTGGCCATGCCTTAAACTGTGGCTCTGAGGAATGCTGATATGAGAGAGAAGTTGCAGATACCTTAACTTCCAGGTCATATGATGGTTAACCAATATAAACTCATTTCTGGTTTAAAATCAGACAAAGGTGAAGCAACCAGCACATGTTCTCCTGCCTCCTCTCTTGACTTCTCAATCAGCCTGGGCTGGAAATACAGAGACCTCTGGGCAATGAGCCTGTAGCTCAGTCTGTGGGTCTGCCCATGTCTGAGGTGGTGCTGGTGATGGGGAGCAGCTGGCTGCTGATGATAACAAGAGCCATGTGGCAGCCATGGCTGATTCCTAGTGGGGGTTTTGCCCACCTCCCATAAACCCTGCAGCAGGCGATCTCCCCAAAAGAGCCCTGTACCCGGTTCTGTTCGGGGAGAGGGAAGCTAGATTCCTCCTCAACAGATGTCACCATAATTAGATAACTCGTTATATCAAGGAATAAGGAAAGGAGATTGACATAGATACAAATGCGAACATATTGATAGCTTTTCTGCATGTGAGTTTGTGCAATCTTGGAAACTGATTTCTTGGACAAGTCTCAAGGGATGAGTCAGCGGTTGGAGCCTGAGGAGATTTTCCACAATGAAATTCTAGTCCCAGTCAAGTATTCTAAGAGCTTGCCACCCTGTAAGACCATTCCCAGGGGCGGCCAGGGCTCAGAGCCAGCGTAGGTGTGTGTCTGTGCCCTGTGCACATGGGAGAACCCCAGCAGGGATCCAGGGCCTGGGGGTGAGGGAGGGAGAGGGAGTAACTCGCTGGGTTAGGCAGACCCCATGGGCAGTGGCTGACGCTGATCCACGAAGTCGTCGGAACTCCTGGGTCCCCTTCCTGCGTCTGAGTTGGAGAGCCTCCTTGGGTTGTCACCCCCGGCAGGGAGTAAGTGTCCTTCACAAGTGCTCCCATATGACCCTGCTCTTTCTGTTGGAGCACCCATCATTCTGTAATGTACTTGCCTCTTTTCCCTGTGGCAAAATAGAAGATTTGACTACATGATCATTTCCAGCTCAAACATTCTAAAGTTGGAAATGCCTTAAAAAAAAAATGGGGTAAAGGAAGGAAACCGTGAGTTGACATGCAATATATGTATATATATGTCTGCTCCTTCTCTGGTCATTTCATATCCATCATTTTCCAACCGCCTCCTGAGGCTGGCCTTCCAGTTTTCAGGAGGCAGTGATCACTTCAATCACTTATGCTTTCTGAAGACCCCAGAGCAGCCCAGGCTCTTCTCCTGTAGTTTAGCTGCTCACCTGTACTTAGCGCTTTGTTTCTACAGGGAGACTTAGGGGAGTGGAGAGTGTGAACAGAGAGAGCCAATCATGCCGGAGGCCCTAATTCCTGCTCCTGCCCCTGAGGTCTTCATCCTCTACCCCAGGCTCTTCCTCTGGGGCCCTCAGGTACCATCCGTCCCTTTCCCACTCCCCACTTCCACCCCAGCATCTTACCCCCAGAGAGAATGATCTCCTGTACAGAGAAAATAGAATCGCCTAGAAGGGAACTCTCTCATCTTACTTCCGCGGAAGAGGAGGCTTACATCCTTCCTAAGAACTTTCCCTGTGGTTGGCGCCTGTCTCACCACTTTAGAGTCATAGTCTGTCCTGGGCTTTATTTCTTTTTTCTTTTTAAATTTATTTGTTTATGTTTGGCTGCATTGGGTCTTCGTTGCTGCACGTGGGCTTTCTGTAGTTGCGGCAAGTGGGGGCTACTCTTTGTTGCGGCGCGCAGGCTTCTCATTACAGTGGCTTCTCTTGTTGTGGAGCCCGGGCTCTAGGAGCGCGGGCTTCAATAGTTGTGGCGCATGGGCTCAGTAGTTGTGGCTCGCGGGCTCTAGAGCACAGGCTCAGTAGTTGTGGCAAACAGGCTTAGTTGCTCCGTGGCATGTGGGATCTTCCTGGACCAGGGCTTGAACCTGTGCCCCCTGCATTGGCAGGCAAATTCTTAACCACTGCGCCACCAAGGAAGCCCTGGGCTTTATTTCTTGAGTCTGTCCTTTGCTCTGCCCCCTACCTGGCCCGCTTCCCAGACATTCCTCTGGGTATTTATGATATCCCCCAGGCCTCCCCCGAGTGGTCTTTCTGCCACTGCTCTCTTCTCCTTCCTGGGCCTTCTATTCCCTACCCCACATCTCACATACCTTCTCTTGAACCTATAGAGAGACCCTCCAACAGCCTGAACCTGGCATTCATACATCTTGGTTAAGAGTCCTGGGGAAAATTCTTTTTGAGTAAACTAGAATCTATAAGCAGATAACACTATCCTAAAGTGGGTGAAGCAGGTAGACTTTAAATATAAAGATTATGGATGCCACCAGCAGTTTATATACAGGAGCCAATGCTATGTTTACAGTGTTAAAAGTGTGACAGGCTTTTAGCTAGACATTTTTAAAGAACTGACGGTCACTCTTGTCCGAACAGTCCAGGCCTGAATTACAGATGACTCTCAATAAAAATTAGAGCTACACCCAGCTGGCCCCATAAAAGAGAAGAGCTGAAGTCCATCTCTCTGGGACAGCCTGAGGCAATGATACTCACATTGATCCTGTTACTGGGTAAGTGGGGGGATGCAGAAGGACCCAGTCTCCTCGGGGACCACAGGCTGTTGGAATATCTCCATCCTCCATTGGAGTCTGCATGGAGGAGTGAGAAACAGTGAGCCCTCTCTGACTTGCAGTACTTCTCTTTCTTCCCACTTGGTCTTGGCATTAAAGCTCTCTGGACTGGTTTTTGCTCATACTCTGTGAGTCTGTGCAAAAGTCCATTTAGAAGACCTGTTTGTAGCTCCAATTTTGGAATAAGAAAGTCAGACCTTAATCAGACTAATT